GGTAACAAAAGCAAAACTCCATTTCAAAAAAAAGAAAGAAATAAAGAAAATAGGTTTAATTGGCTCATGGCTTTGCAGGCTGTACAGGGAACATGGTGCTGGTATCTGTTCGGTTTCTGGGCAGGCCTCAGAAAATGTACAGTCACGGTGAAAGACAAGGGGGAGCAAATGTCTCCTGTGGCCAGTATGGGGGCAAGAAGAGGAGAGGTGTCACACCCTTTTCAACAATCAGATCTCACAAGAAGCCACTCACCATTGCAAGAACAGCACCAAGCAATGCAGGATCTGCCCCCATGACCCAAACACTTCCTGTCAGGCCCCACCTCCGACGTTGGGGATACCATTTCAACATGAGATTTGAGGGGACAAATATTCAAACTATATCAATGGCATAATTTCAGATGGTAATAAGTGCTCTGATAGTTAATCTTTCCTGAATTGTTGCTACATCTAGGCATTTTACAAATGTCAATCCATGTATTCATCACAGTCTATAGATTAGAAGCTATTATCTACAATTTATCAATGAGAAAAATGAAGCTTAGGCGGGTTAAAGAAATTGTTCAGTGTAACAGATGCTAAATAACAGAGATGGGATTATAATCCAGACGTTCTGATCCCAAAGTCCATGTTTCTCTATTGTGAGTTACTATCTCTCAAAGAACTACTGTATGGAAAACAAAACAAGTTAAAGGAAAAGAGCAGAACATCAGGATGCTATTTTAAATAAGATAGTCAGAGAAAACCTCTATGAAGAAGTGACCTTCAATCAGAAACCTGATCAAAGACTGTGCAGAAAAGTCCAGTAATATTTAAAAATAGGCAAAAAAATAAAGACATGATACAAAAAAGGGGAACCAAATAGATAAGAATGATATGGAGAAATATTTAACTTCACTAATAATCAGAAAAAAAAATTAAATGAACATCAAGAAGCCAGTTAACACATCTGCCAATGGTTAAAAGAAAGAAAATTTAAATGGTAATTGTTATTCAAACAAGACAAATGCGAGCGCTGTATGTACTATTGGTGGGATTATAAAGTGGTACAGACATCGTGTGGGGTCTCGTAGTACTCAAATTAACAGGCATGCACCTTCAAACACAGCAATTAAACTTCTTGGCATAAACATTCAAAAATGGCAGTTAAACTTCTTGTCATAAACACCAAGGCCTGCAACTCGAGTCCCTACGAGGAGATGCACACTATGTAATATTTGGTGCATTGTTGGTTGTACTAGCATGGAATGGAGACAACCTAGGTGACCATAACTAAAGGGATGGATTAAGTAATATGTGGTAAATATAGGCTATGGAATATTGGGAAGCACTAAGAAATAACATAAGTAAATTTTAAGAATGAAGTTTGAAGTGGGAAAAGTAAGAAACATAGTAATATCTAAATTATAAAATTATTTACATGAGTTTAAAATAAACATACTAAGCAAAATTACATATTGATGAAAAATTTGTACAGATCCAGGATATATACAAAATACATTAGAGTGCTAGAAAATGGAGGGAAGGGATGCTTCAGGAAAAGGGCAGCAAATAATATTTAAATATTTGTATATTGTATGTATTATATATTTGTATATATAATATATTAAATTTTT